GGATCTGGAGGGTATGGCCCAGGTACAAGAAAGAGGGGGAATTCCCCCCCCCCCTCTCGGTGACACTTTGAAAAATTATGGTGTAAGTGCTAAGAGTCCTAAACATTTTAGGGAATAATGTACAACCGGGGGGGGGGGGTGGAGGTAATGGAATAACCCCCAGGAAGAAGAAACAGTCAATCTTTATTACGTTCACCCTCAAAACGTTCAGCCTTAAAAGTTTTTTTGAAAAATTATGGTGTAAGTGCTAAGAGTACTAAACATCTGGGTGAAAAAGTAGATTCTGGGAGGTCCGGGGGGTATGGAATACTCCCAGGAAGAAGAAAGGGTCAATCCTCACTTACTTTCGTACACTGAGGGGCATTCTATACCCCTTAAACCCTTCGGTGACAACGTTCACCACTATGAAAAATTATGAATTGAAATGAAATTAAGGATCTTAAACATGTTGGGGAAGAGTGTAGAACCGGGGGGTCTGGGGGGTAAACAGTCAATCTTTAGTGCTAAGGGCACTAAACACTTTCGGGAAGAAGTAGAACAAGAGGGTTGTGGGGGGTATGAAATATTCCCATAACTCCCTGACCCCCCTCTCCCGGTCATACCTTCGCCCTCAAAACGTTAATCCCTAAACATTCTGTTGAACCATTATGGTGTAAGTGCTAAGGATCCTAAGCGTTTTGGGGAAGAATGTAGAATCCGGGGGTCTATACTCTCCAGGAAAAAGGAACATTCGTACACTGGAGGGTATTCCATATACCCCTTAAACCCCTCGGTGACGACGTTCACTGCTTTGAAAAATTATTAATATATTATTATATGAAGGGTCTTAAGCATTTTGGGGATGAATGTAAGACCGGGGGGTCGGGCGGGTATTCCTCCTCGGTGACATGTTCACCCTCAAAACGTTCAGACCTAAAACCTCTTTTGAAAAATTATAATGTAACTGCTAAGATAACTACACATTTTGGTGAAGAATGTAGAATCGGGAAGTTTTGGGGTGTGGGGGGGAGGGGTATGGAATACCATGCATGCCGGAACGAAAGGTATAATGAGAAAACCGATGGGTTAACCCGACTAGCCTCAAAACAGGTGTTTTATGGTGCAGAGACGGCTCTTCCAATTATTCAAAAGCAACCTAATACCTAATATTGAGGTTATGAGGTTATATTATTCTGTTGATAAGTTTCGAGTTAGCACTTTTCCTAATTAGGTATGTGTTATGGATTTTAAAGTATTAATGAAATGCTCAGTTAACGAAAAATCAATTAAATTCTTGCCTATCCATAACCCCTTTTTATCTGAGCTATCCTGGGAAGTAAAGTACGGAAGGCAGGTAGAATCACGAACCCGACGTTCTTTTCCACAACTTGCTGGATATTTGATAAAATTCCTGGTCATGTTATGTCCGATTTTATCATTTCTTCATTATTAATGTTCAAATTTAAATTTCCATACGAAGTACCTACCTTTATTTGTTGCAATTTCGCCCTTTACGGTCATTCAGGGCTGTATCGACAAAAAAATTATCAAAGTGGTGGGCGGAAAATGACACGAACTAAGTAATGGAAGTAAGTAGAGAAATTATAAAGCAAAAAATCAAGAAGACTGAAATGTAGAGCAGAATAAATCGCACAAGAAGAGTGCAAAGATACGGAAGTTTTTCATCATCCCATTTTGAAGTTGAGCCGAGAGTCGGCATCTTAAATTTAAATGGTAGCCGTACAAAGGGTACATAATAATTAGCGTTTATAATAAACAATGACAGATAAAGGTACATATATATCAAAGTTTACAAACCGAGAATGTTTGTACGATTGTGGTGTTTATGATGTATGTACCGTTTCAAGGAATTGGTCTAAGACGAAGCATGGCCACCAACAAAGGCCGAACAAAGGCTCAAATACTCCTCGGAGAATATCTGGAGGAGAATTAAATTTTATCTTTGAGATTAACTTGCGTGAAGTTGTCAAATCTTAACTGTTGCGAATATGGCGGCGTGATATTAAAGTCGGCAATTATGATACCTACAGTGCGAGCTTAAAACTTTGATTTCTACAGTAAAAATTCATTTAAAAACGAAGGGCACCCTTATAAACAATGAATTCAATATTATCCCCTTTTTTAGGTTTTTAATATTAAAACTATACACACATACATCTGCGTATGACATGAGTAAAAAGCACGACGTCTCTTAAATTTATTGCTTTTAATATTATGCATGTATGAAATCGTAAACGCGTTCTTTTCATATTGATATTTCATATTATTTTATATCATATTTATTTAATATTCGTTCTTGTCTTTGCACGCGCAGAAGGAAAAAGTGGGGCGAGTTAAAAATGAAAGATAGCGTCGAATATACAGAAAGTTTTGCCATTTCCAATCCGCGGTATCTGCAACTGAAGATATCAAGATAGATGATTATGACTCCATATAAAAACAACATCGATCATAGTATCCCCTAAATTCCTTTTGTTACCAGTCAATATATAATATCCAGTGAAAACGAAAATGTTACACAACGAATTCGATTTACAAATAATTTTTATTTATGTAATTGCATAATATAATATGACATTTGAATAGGTTTGAATGGGTAGGCAAAATCGCTCTTTAACCGCGAGGGTAGATAAAGTGATCACTTTAATTGCTAGGATAAAGTAAAACAGATCATTGTGCATTCTAATGCCATATGTCATTCTTACTTCAAATGTCACGCGGAGTACGATATAAAATGACGTTGGGAACATATGACAATGCTGTTCCTATAGAAACGACCACGAAAACAGAACCTAGGATTGACACTTTGGACGTCTAAATTAAATTTAGAATTGTCGAAAGCTTTACAATGATCTTCTGCCTTAAGATAAAGTTTTGTATTATACACGACGATAAAGGGAAACTAACCATCTCGCGAAAGTTAATTCACTCAATCCTTTTATCGTCTTGTATAATAAATAACTATCATTTATACTTACATTTAGATTTTCTTTCTTACAAATAGGTTTACTTTGTTTTTTACACTACCTCTTAGATACTGAATAAAGAACATCTTTTGGATGTTTTTCGAACCAAACTGATTTATGCCAGAGCTTCAGATCTTTTCCATTTTTAGTTGAAACTTAAATTTTCTCGGGGGCAAAACCTCGGGTCAAGCGGGGTCTGCGCCAAAGCCTAAGGTTGTGTCGGGGTCGTTTGCTCAGGGGGGCAACCCGAAGTCAGGAACCAAGCGTCTCAGATCTGAGGGAACCAATCCAGGGTCCGGCTCAGGGCATCTTGAGAAGCCTAGATGTTCTGGCGCACCTTAGTCTCTGATTGCTAATTTAAGTCTCCAAATTTGCGTACCAACTTAGTTTGTCATGATCAATCGAAAGACAATGGTATCATGTCGTTTCACTTCTGCTTTTACCAGATGTGGATAACAACTTTCTTGTTTTAAACAGAGCACCCTGTATTTTTTGGAAATCTACAATATGAAAATCTGCGTCGTTTGATACCACGTTTCTCTATACCAAGTATCAAAGGTTTTCAAGTTAGGGAATTTGGAATCGTCAACACCAAAAATGTTAAGGATTTTGTAGATCTTGCAAATTCCGAAAAGCATGTGATCCATAAGGATATTAAGACTTATACACTGCCCCGAAAAAAAAATTGTTTCAGATCGACCCGGAAAAAAAATTTTCTTATAGAATGTGGCCTGTAGAATCCATAATTTCAAACAGTTCCAAGATTGGGCTACTAGTTCAAAAGTTACAGCCCTTTGAATTTTTTTTCGAAATTGGTTTCTAGTCTATAACTTTTGATTGAGAAGTCTGATCGAAAAAAAGTACGAATTGTTTTGGATTCTACGCACCAAAATTAATAAGAAAAAGTGTTTTCCGAGAAATTTTGGTGCAGTCGATTTTTGGTAAAAAAGGAAGGTTATACACTGCCTTTTTTTGAGCCCCGAAAAAAAAATTGTCTCAGATCGACCCGGAAAAAAAATTTTCTTATAGAATGTGGCCTGTAGAATCCATAATTTCAAACAGTTCCAAGATTGGGCTACTAGTTCAAAAGTTACAGCCCTTTGAATTTTCTTTCGAAATTGGTTTCTAGTCTATAACTTTTGATTGAGAAGTCTGATCGAAAAAGTACGAATTGTTTTGGATTCTACGCACCAAAATTAATAAGAAAAAGTGTTTTCCCGAGAAATTTTGGTGTAGTCGATTTTTGGTAAAAAAGGAAGGTTATACACTGCCTTTTTTTGGGGCCCAAAAAAAAATTATCTCAGATCGACCGGGAAAAAACATTTTCTTATAGAATGTGGCTGTAGAATCCATAATTTCAAACAGTTTCAAGATTGGGCTACTAGTTCAAAAGTTACAGCCCTTTGAATTTTCTTTCGAAATTGGTTTCTAGTCTATAACTTTTGATTGAGAAGTCTGATCGAAAAAGTACGAATTGAATTGGATTCTACGCACCCAAATTAATAAGAAAAAGTGTTTTCCCGAGAAATTTTGGTGTAGTCGATTTTTGGTAAAAAAGGAAGGTTATACACTGCCTTTTTTTGAGTCCCGAAAAAAAATTGTCTCAGATCGACCCGGAAAAAAAATTTTCTTATAGAATGTGGCCTGTAGAATCCATAATTTCAAACAGTTCCAAGATTGGGCTACTAGTTCAAAAGTTACAGCCCTTTGAATTTTCTTTCGAAATTGGTTTCTAGTCTATAACTTTTGATTGAGAAGTCTGATCGAAAAAGTACGAATTGTTTTGGATTCTACGCACCAAAATTAATAAGAAAAAGTGTTTTCCCGAGAAATTTTGGTGTAGTCGATTTTTGGTAAAAAAGGAAGGTTATACAAGGCCTTTATCTCTATTAGGTTCTCTTGGATACACAATATCCCGCAAATAAAAAGATAATGGTAGCCAAAAAGGACGGTATTTAAATCTAACTGCACTGGCGTTATCAGTGCTGGTTGATAGCGCAACGTCAAAAGTAAACTTTGAAATGATAAAGCAGTAATTAACCGTACACAGTCCAATGATCATATATTTATAAATAGCTGCGGAATTTTATATTTATTTCGTAAGCGAATTACGACTAGAATGGTTGTCTCACTTGAAAGATGGCAAGGAAAGGTGGCCGTTGTCACCGGATCGAGTAGCGGAATAGGTGCGGCTATTTCGGAGAAGTTGGTGGAAGCCGGTGTGATTGTTGGTACCTGCACGTTTCGGACGCGAACGCTAACGCTCATTTTCAGGTTGTGGGGCTCGCTCGAAGAAAAGAGAGGTTAGACGAATTGGCGGTTAAACTTAAAGACAAGGCCGGAAAATTTCATCCGATCAGGACAGATGTGAGTAAAGAGGAAGATCTCTTGAGGGCCTTCGAGTGGGTGGAGGCCAATCTTGGAGCCGTTCACGTTCTCGTGAACAGCGCCGGTTTGAGGAAACCGACGAATTTGGTCGAAGGATCGACTGAGATGTGGAGGGAGATAATCGACGTTAACGTGCTGGGTTTGTGCGTTGCCACAAGAGAGGCGGTGAGAAGTATGCGAAAACATCACGTGGATGGTCACGTGATCCACGTGAACAGCCTCGCTGGGCACCGTGTGTTGTGGTTTGCTGAGTCTAGCGTCTATCCCGCTAGCAAACATGCAGTGACGGCTTTAACCGAAACTCTTCGGCAGGAATTGAATGCGATCGGGAGCAAAATTAAAGTTACTGTAAGTTGGTGGGGAGAGAGAGGGTTTGTTATTTTAGAATCGTTACAGAGCATCAGTCCAGGTCTTGTAGACAATGAATTTCGGCAGGTGTCTGGAGTTGCAGAGATTGATGGTGGCGCGGCGATTCAGTCGGAGGATGTGGCACACGCTACCGTTTACGTCCTGGGGACACCTCCTCACGTGCAGGTTCGGAGACCATAGTAGTATTCTTCATGTAACGGATTTTCAGGTTCACGAGTTGATAATCCGGCCCGTCGGGGGAAAGTACTGATTTTAACACAAAATTGCTTCCTCTCTACCATTTGCGGTACTGTTATTACTCCACGTCAAAGAGTAAAGGTGTAATGTGAAAGATAATTAAACTCTTTAGCTGAAGTTTTTCAGTACATTTTCGGTCTCAATTCATCAATCGGACCAATAGAATTCCCAAAGAAATGATTGAGCACAAGGCGTGAAATTCCCAAAACTCCACAATGATTACCAGTCAATTTGGTATAAAATTAAACTCTATTTCATTCGTGATCGATTACTTTAAAGTTAAAGCTTTACAAAAATCCCCGAACTGTTAAATTATGACAAAATGGCGCAGATATTGAAATAATCATAACCATCAATCTTTAATCAAGAAATGGACAGTATAGCAAGAGAGTTCTGTTCCGACGTTTCCATCAATTCACCCTAAAACAACGAAAAGACACAAGGAACCCGAGTTAATCCACTCGGTCATTAAAATGATGGTTGCTTGAGGAACCAAAACATACTCGATATCCTTAGGCGAGTGGAATTTTGGTACACTGCCCCCTCGTTAAGATTATTGCAATCCTTTGGCATTGGCAATTCAACAGTGTTCCAGATTATTGTTCCGCTGTGGCAGAACCGACATTCCATCGCCTTTGGTGTATCTCCCCTTGGCAAAGATGAAGCACTTAACAGTCTTGCAGGTTGGGTCCATAACGTCTTTGATTCCAAGACTACAAACCAATATCTCCGTATCGACGTCACCAAATATAATCTACAGCATATTCTGCAAAATGGGCTGATGGCGGGATAATAGCGAATCTTCCCCCACTCGTAGACACTTTGGCCATCTGTGGTCAATCTTCTCATTTATTTGAGCTTTTAGCATATCTACCTTGTCGCCCATATCGCTAATTCGATTTTGAATTTTATCTTCAATTTCTTGAAGTAGTTGGAGCATTGTTTTTTCTGCGATGGGCATGGACGTCCAATAAATCAACCCCACACCTTGCACCAATTGTAACGACCTAGTTACAAACTCTTATTTATTTAATACCTAGCACGTCGATTAATCGCGAAAGATGCACCAATCGGAGTTCGTTAACCGAATGAGCTGCAATATCAGTGGTCTTCAATCAAAAATTACAGTGATACTCAACCAAATATAATTTATATTTACTTCAGAAAATAAAGAAACCGTTAGAGCTTACTTCTTACCCTTATACATCCTTTCATTGCGCTTATTCCCTTTGCACATTCCACTTGTTTTTTGTTTTCAGGTCTCTCCTTACGATTTTGTTACGACTTCATCCTCCATACGACGGCAATCGATTTTAAATTGTAATCTTCGAGAAGAAATATTCCAAACAAAGACGGAAATGTGCGTTTAGATCATAGTGTTCGAGGAAAAGCCAGAATATTCGGGAAAAAGTGGAAAATGCCAAACGTAAGTCTTGCAAGTACCGATTTAAGCAGAATTTTTTGTCTAATTCTCAAAGCAAAATCAAGTCATAATTTTGAAGGTGACTGAATTTGTTAATTTGCTAATTATAGCCGAAGGAATTTCCCAAATATAGCTCTAAGAGTGTTCGAAGAATTACGAAAACGCGACTTAAACATGCACGCAAAGGCGTTGGCAAGGGCAATCTCTTCAATCTACGAGCAGTTTACAGCTCGCACTTTAGAAAAGTGTCGTAATTGTTGGCGTAATTTGTAAACCCGATGCTAATATGGCGTTTTCGTTACATTTACGAGTACAATAACTTATCTATAATCAGGTCTAAATGATTTTTCACCTAGGGTGAGGCAACCTGCTGGTTGGGATGGGTCAGATTCGTGTGTTATATCGCCCTAGGGAATATATGACAAATTTTTGTATTGTATTTTACTCGGAGACCTTCCCTTTCATGAATTCTTAATGAGTCGGATTTATTAATTAGAACAAGTAACGTGTGTTGCGAGTGTGTGATTTAATCCTATTTCTATCATTTTTAATTTAATTTAATTTATTATCGTATCAAATATATCAGGTTTATCTTTACGTGCTCAAAAATAAACATTTTCAGCTTAAATTTATTAGGGGTTGTGTTAAAAGCACGTGATTGTTGCACGAGCTAAAAGTTCCAGCGATTGCCGCTAGGTGGGAGTGACGGTATTGATTTCGAGAGACTGAGTTCGTACGACTTTAGCTGCTAATAACTTCATTGCGGTTTAAAATAGAACAGAGGGATTGAAAGAATCTGTAGTCTTCTGATACAAATTTGGAAAAATTGCTGAAAATGTAAGTAGTAAAGAAAGTGCCAAATCTCCCGCGATGTATCTCCCCATATATGTAAATTCTCTCTGGAAAAATTGTTCCATCAAGATCACGGAAGCTCGAGACGGTTGTAGATAAACACATGTTCAATAATTCCGCCTTCCTAATACAAACTTCACCTAGGATTAGGGAAACTCAGAAAGTACGGTTCCTTGGGGAATACTTCCTTACACATCCTCGTGGGGAAATAGGTGTATAATGTTCAAGGAACTACGCGAAGAATTTTTCTCGCTTCTGCTAGCTCTTCAGGAGTGCGTGGAATTCTCCTCCGTGGTGTAACTGAAGAGTGACCATGTTTTGCGGTGCAAGTTCTTGACCTTGGTGGAGGAGATTTTCCAGTGTCCCAACCCTTTTTTATCTCTCTTCCTCATCCCTTACCTGCTCCATGTTGTTGTTTTTTTAATACTCCCCTTCATATGTTTCCAGTCCTCCTGTGTGTTCTCTCCTATATCATATAGAGATTCTGAAGGTAAACTAGAATGAATTTTAAAGAGACCGCAATAAGACTTTCGAGAGATTCTAAAGAAATTTGCAAGGGCTTCTGTAGAGACTTGCGGAGATTCTGAAAAGCAGTTTGAAAGGACTTAGAAAAAGATTCCGGAAAGATTTTAAACATTCTAAAGGTACATGATGACTTTTAGAGAGATTGTATAATGAGACCTTATGAAAAGATTGGCAAGGGCCTCTTAAGGGACTTGAAAGACACTATGAAAGGATTTTAAAGCTTTGGAAGGTAAACTGGAATGAATTTTGAAGAGCTTGCAATGAGACTTAGAAGAGATTTTAAAGAAATTGACAAAGGCTTCTGAAGAGACGTGCAGAAATTCTGAAAAGCAGTTTGAAAAGACTTTAAAGATTCTAATGGTACATGAAGATGACTTCTAGAGAGATTGTATAATGAGACCTTATGAAGAGATTGGCAAGGGCCTCTGAAGGGATTTGAAAGAGATTGTAGAAGGATTTTAAAGATTTTGAAGGTAAACTGGAATGAATTTTGAAGAGCTTTGAGATTGTGTAGCGAGACCTGATGAAGACATTGGCAAGGGCTTCCTAAGGTAGTTGAAAGAGAATTTGAAAAGATTTGAAACATTCTGAAGGTAAATTGCAATGAATTTTGAAGAAACTGCAAAGAGACTTTGAGGAGATTTTAAAGAAATTGGCAAAGGCTTCTGAAGAGACTTGCGGATATTCTGAAAAGCAGTTTGAAAAGACTTAAAAAAAGATTCCGCAAAGACTTTAAAGATTTTAAGGGTACATGAAGATGACTTTTAGAGAGATTCTATAATGAGACCTTACGAAAAGATTTGCAAGGGCCTCTTAAGGGACTTGAATGAGATTCTCAAAGGATTTGAAACATTCTGAAGGTAAATTGCAATGAATTTTGAAGAAACTTCAAAGAGCCTTTGACGAGATTCTAAAGAAATTGGCAAGGGCTTCTGAAGAGACTTGCAGAGATTCTGAAAAGCAATTTGGAGAGACAGAAAAAGATTCCGGAAAGATTTTAAAGATTCTAAAGGTACATGCAGATGACTTCTAGAGAGATTCTATAATGAGACCTTATGAAGAGATTGGCAAGGGCCTCTGAAGGGACTTGAAAGAGATTGTAGAAGGATTTTGAAGGTAAACTGGAATGAATTTTAAAGAGACTGCAATAAGACTTTCAAAAGATTCTAAGGAAATTGGCAAGGGCTTCTGAAGAGGCGTGCAGAAATTCTGAAAAGCAGTTTGAAGAGACTTAGAAAAAGATTCCCGAAAGATTTTAAAGATTCTAAAGGTACATGAAGATGACTTTTAGAGAGATTGTATAATGGGACCTTATGAAGAGATTGGCAAGAGCCTCTGAAGGGACTTGAAAGAGAGTTTGGAAGGATTTTAAAGATTTTGAAGGTAAACTGGAATGAATTTTAAAGAGACTGCAATAAGACTTTCAAAAGATTCTAAGGAAATTGGCAAGGGCTTCTGAAGAGGCGTGCAGAAATTCTGAAAAGCAGTTTGAAGAGACTTAGAAAAAGATTCCCGAAAGATTTTAAAGATTCTAAAGGTACATGAAGATGACTTTTAGAGAGATTGTATAATGGGACCTTATGAAGAGATTGGCAAGAGCCTCTGAAGGGACTTGAAAGAGAGTTTGGAAGGATTTTAAAGATTTTGAAGGTAAACTGGAATGAATTTTAAAGAGACTGCAATAAGACTTTCAAAAGATTCTAAGGAAATTGGCAAGGGCTTCTGAAGAGACGTGCAGAAATTCTGAAAAGCAGTTTGAAGGGCTTCTGAAGAGACTTGCCGAGATTCTGAAAAGCAATTTGGAGAGACAGAAAAAAGATTCCGAAAAGATTTTAAAGATTCTAAAGGTACATGCAGATGACTTCTAGAGAGATTGTATAATGAGGCCTTATGAAGAGATTGGCAAGGGCCTCTGAAGGGTCTTGAAAGAGATTGTAGAAGGATTTTAAAGATTTTGAAGGTAAACTGGAATGGTTTTTAAAGAGACTGCAATAAGATTTTTAAGAGATTCTAAAAAAATTGGCAAGAGCTTCTGAAGATACTTGCAGAGATTCTGAAAAGCAGTTTGAAGAGCCTTAGAAAAAGATTCCGGAAAGATTTTAAGGATTCTAAAGGTACATGCAGATGACTTCTAGAGAGATTCTATAATGAGACCTTATGAAGAGATTGGCAAGGGCCTCTGAAGGGACTTGAAAGAGATTGTAGAAGGATTTTAAAGATTTTGAAGGTAAACTGGAATGAATTTTAAAGACTTTCAAAAGATTCTAAGGAAATTGGCAAGGGCTTCTGAAGAGACGTGCAGAAATTCTGAAAAGCAGTTTGAAGGGCTT